ACTACTTAATGCCATTACTATTACATCTTATTACCATTACTCTTCAACAATTTTCAGATGTAGCCCCCCATGCCTTGGATAGCACCGCTAGCCGCTGGCCGCGTTTCTTTCGCTCCCCGGCGCTTTGGTCGGCGGAGGCCTCACAGGGTTTTGGTGCTGTTGGTTTTGGGCTTAGGGCTTAGGGTTTAGGCTTAGGGTTTTAGGATTTAGGGTTTAGGGTTTTGGGGGAGGGTTTCTCCACAAGTTTTACAAGACTGCCTTATAGCAAGGACCATCAAGGCCTCTCACTATGGAACTACCTGTTTAAGGTGCGCTGCGCAAAGCCGTCTTCCCGCGCATTTAATTTTGGGAGTTTATGGTTCAAGGTGTTAGGGTCTAGGGTTCAATTAAGGTTCAACCTCAAGCCCCTAACTGATTTTCGCGGAACCTTTTATGATCTCAGGCGGTACCTAGGATGATGGATAACAGAAATACAAACAGTGTTCACGGAGCCCTCAGCTAAACCGTAACACTAAGGCCGAACCGTTCGGGATCGTAATTGGAGGTTCAAACGTGCTTCTAAGCAGGGTGAAAAGTCTCCTCAACTAGCTTAAAAATCATCCGGAATACGAGTCCAACTCCAATGACGCATGAACCCCCCAAGTAGAGGCATCTTAAGGATAGGGTCTAGGGTTAACAGGACATGTAAGGATGATGAGGAAGTGCTAGGGGTTTCCGCGATTTATTATGTGAGCCATAGTCTGCACTTCTATGATCCCCCTTCATATCCCCTATAGTAGTCTCCTATTAAATCCCTTATATAGCCCCTGTTTAAAGCGTTTAGATTATGGCTCATGTAAGGAAGAAAATTGAGAAGCACCCAGATGGGCCGAAGCCCTAAGCCCTAAAACCTAGGCCCGAAACAAGGTCTTTTTTATACACACCATACTAAAACCTAAGCCCTAAACAAAGTTTGCTTTATAAAAGCCATCCTAAAACCTAAGCCCTAAACAAAGATTTCTTTTCTTTTTCATTTTTTTATTAAAAAAACAAAAACAAAAACTTTTTTTTTAAAAAAAAAAACCTAAGCCCTAAACAAGGGCATGCGCTTCGGAGGCCTGGACGTCGGCCAAGGCAGCATTATACAACTCCTTCGTCTTGCACATTGTTGGCTTGGGATGGTTTAGGGTTTAGGGTTTAGGGTTTATGGCCTATGGCTTGGGTACTGCCCCCACCCAGTAACAGTCCATATTAGGGGTCCAATTAAGGGCGAAATATAACCATATTTCAATTATTCTCCAACTGTTACTGAGGGGTGGGGCAGTACCCAATTTATGGCTTATGTCTTAAGGTTTCGGGTTTAGGGTTTGGGGTTGGTCTAGGCTCAGGGTTAGGGAATGAAATAGAGGGTCGAGATAGGGATTATTGGGAGCGTGTACGGGCTACATGGGGACATATTGGGGCTTAGGACTCGAGAGTCAGATGGAGAATCAAATGAAAAAGAAATGGAAAGCTTAGGCTTATGGGGATTAACCGGCTCGAGGGTTTAGGGCTTCGGGTTCAGGGTTTAGGGCTTAGGGTCTAGGGGGGTTTAGGGTACAGGGTTTAGGATGTAGGGTTTAGGATTTAGGGTTAAGGATTTAAGGTTTAGGGTGCAGGATTTAGGGGACTTACTAGGTAGGTCAATAGTTGGGAGAACTGGGGCTACTATATTGGTTATAAGGATTACAAGACTTCTTACGAAGTCTTCCCTGACCCTCCAAGTGGTATCTTTCGGCTTGTTATTGGGACCACTCAAGTCTGATACCTCGTCAGCCAATCTTAGCGCGGCCTTTTGTGTCTCAAAAGCGGGCGGCCCTCTATACAGTCCATAGTCCCCATGAAGTAGATAGAATATGGCTTTGGGTATACTATAATAAGATCCCCATATACCCCATATTCTATCTACTTAAGGGGGACTATATACCCCAAAACGCATCCCCAGTTGTAGAGATGTCAAAAAAAGCAGCTATCACACGGTCTAGGGATTTAGGGTTTAGGGATTTAGGGTTTCAGGGATTCAGGGCGGGCGGGCTTGAGACTTAGCAGGTCTCACGAGAACACGATAAGCCCTTGTTCATTTGAAACATACCCAGTTGCAATTTCACTTTCTACTTGAACTTCCATGTCGTGTGATTCTCTATTATCCCAACTATTTAGCTACTCAAAAGCCGACACCTTTAATAGAACCCATTTTCTTTTTCCATGTCCATGCCCCCCAATATAATGCCTACCCCCCACGCCATTCTTCGCCTAACCATTCTTCACCCTGCACCCTAAACCCTACAGGCCAAAACCCTAAACCGTGGGTCCTCCACCTCTGACACGGAAAGATTCTCGATGTCTGGGAAGCTCAAGTCTCCGGCAGCAGGCGCCATGTCACATGGGAGCAGCTTCACGGGCTCTGCTACCGGGAGATGGGAGTTTGGGGTTCAGAGTTTAGGAAGTTCAAGGTGTAGGGCTTACGGGGAAAGAGTTTGGGAAGTTTAGGGCTTAGGGTTCTGCAAGGTTTAGGGTTTGGGGTCACTATTTCCCGAAAAAAGAGTGGACATGACTTGCTTCTGAGGGTGTATATTCTGGACAAGGACAAGAATAAACCACAGGAAGGAGACGTATGTCCACTCTTAATGGTCTCTTGGTAAGGCTGATGTTGACAATAGCGCCTGCAGCAGATTGTGGCGGTAGCCGCAAATGGTATTGGTCGTAGCGGTAGTGGGGGTAGTGGCAGCAATGGTAGTAGTGGAAGCGGTGGTAGTAGTGGTAGGTAGTAGTGGTCGTCGCGGCGGCGGCGGCGGTGGTGGTGGTGGCGGCGGCGGTGGCGGGGGTGGCGCGGCAGCAGCGGCGGCGCGGTAGTAGCGGTAGTGTTGGTAGTAGCAGTAGCGGTAGCAGTAGCAGTAGTAGTAGCAGTAGCTATAGCAGTAGCAGTAGCAGTAGTAGCAGCAGCAGTAGCAGTAGTAGTAGTAGTAGTAGTAATAGTAGCAGTAGTAGTAGTAGTAGTAGTAGTAGTAGCCAACGGCTTGTAAACCGTACCCCCCTTTCTGACGTTCGTGTTCCCAGAGCATACGATAACTAGCGCACCCATGCCCAAATAATAACGTTCGTGTTCCCAGAGCATACGGTGACCAGAGCACCCATGCCCCCTTAACCATAATAACGTTCGTGCTCCCAGAGCATACGATAACTAGCGCACCCATGCCCAAACCATGATAACGTTCGTGTTCCCTCAGCATACGGTGACCAGAGCACCCATGCCTTAACCATAATAACTTACGTGTTCCCAGAACATACGGTGACCAGAGCACCCATGCCCGAACCACAACAACGTTCGTGTTCCCAGAGCATACGGTGACCAGAGCACCCATGCCCTAACCATAGTAACGTTCTCGGGGTGCATGAAGCACTTTATCCCTAGCAAGTTGACGAATGTGAAGCAGAAGCTCCTCCTGCTGTACGTGCGGAGCTTCCAGTGGAGGTCTTTGCACAAAAGCAGGGACGTGTTGCTTAAGTCCACAGGTCTGTACCTGAAGAAGCTGCGACGCTGAAGTTGCTCCTGAAAAATGTGTTCCTGCCGCACAACTTTTCTTGCAAGACACAACGACATGTTACAGTTGCTTGGAAATTACACACTATCTGGACTGCTGTCGTTGCACTTCCCAATAGAAATCACACAATTTTGCGTCTCCAAATGCCATTTTGCTGACGGTACCAGCAGTAAAAAATGGCTAAAATGCCGCGAGGGTCAAAATTTCTCGGCTTGCCAAAAACATGTTCCCGAGGCCAGATTCTGACACGACCACAACAATGGGGCCGTCAAATTCCGCACAATTTTCCTTCAAAAACCCAAGCGGTTGCAAAACAGGCATCCGAGATAGGTCCACTTCGGATACCAGCAAAATGAGGTTGCCGTTGTGGCGAAACCCGCTTTTTGACACTATTAGAGGGGTCGGTTTTGACGCCGCCGGGTGGTAGTAGTAGTAGTAGTAGTAGTAGTAGTAGTATAGGGCTTAGGAAATCCTGCTTCAGGAGCAGTTCATAAACATTGCAATGCTCCAGCCAGCTTGCGTTGACTCGGCTTTGTGTTGGCTTGGGTTGCTGCGACATTCACTTTGGTGGCAGCATCTGCAGGTGACAAACAGTGTTGCTTTTCCTCTGCAAAAAATGAATGCGATTTTAGCCTTACTGTTTCGCCGCGGGAGTGCAAGATTCGTCTCATCAATTAGCACCCGGCGCGCTCGCAGGCTTTGGCTTGCAGAAGAAGAGCCCCTACACTCTAACCTAAACGCATTCACGGATGACGGCAAGATCTCAATGCGTTTTGACCAGCTCTGGACGAGGAGTGGGCTGATCTCCTACTGCTGCTGCTAAAAGTCCTGCATGACTGTAGCATCCTACGATACCATAACTCCCAATGTGCAAGGTAATCACCTTCCCCAAATATGTGTATATATATATATGCATATATCTCTCTCTCTCTCTCTCTCCCCCCCAACCCCAATATATAATGACAGTATTTCGAGGGGAACATTACTAGGGGGAGGGGAAGAGTTAGGGTCATGCAAGACCCCTGGCATCAATTTCATGCATTGCTGTGCCTTCTGGCAGCGCCTATCTGTCACGTGAAACGGCAGGTTTAGAGGTCAGAGCTGTGAGGGCTACTTGGAATTTCAGGAGGACTTAGTAAGGGATGGAAGTGCAAAAGGAAACTGCAATTCTTGTCAAACCTCACTTTGACCTATCAACTACAACGATGTCATAAAGAACGTCTGTCATGTTCACTGTAAAGCTTATCATTCTTGCTAATTCGATCCCCAAACGGGGAGCCTCACAAGAAGCGTACCTCGAAGGACCACAGGTAGATTGCAATAATATCATGGCGGCTCCTATGCGCTATAGGGGCAATTTTGAAATCCTAGACTCTAAACCCTAAACCCCAAATCCTAAACCCTAAATCCTGAAGGCATCCCTCTGCTTTGAAACTCCCCCTAGCGGGGGGTCAGGACGGCAGTTGTCAGGGCACTCAGCTTCTTGGCAGCAGTTGGACAGAACTTTGGCCCGCTGTGCCTAAGTGATTTTAGGGAAGCTTTTGAAATTCTCTTGCGTATGCAGGTACATACACATTTATATACATGTACGGATATATGCACATAGATATGTCTGAACATACATACATACATACATACATACATACATACTACCTACAGACAGACAGACGGACGGACAGACAGACGGACGGACAGACAGACAGACAGACAGACAGACATGGGTGTCAATGCGCCACTATTCAAATATGTACTTGTACATTGGCCTGTGTGGATGTAGGTACATACATGCCTACGTACACACGCACACACGCCGGATCTGCGTGTTACCGGATTGTAGCTTCACCTTCAGATGCATATACCCTAAACCCTAAACCCTAAACCCTATACCCTAAACCCTATACCCTAAACCCTAAACCCTAAATTGCATATATGTTCTGAAGGAAGGCCCAGGTGCCGACCCCGGATTTGCTCTTCCTCCAGGGTTCCAATGAACCTGAAGCCAGCCGACACCAGGACCAAAACAGTTGACATCAGGGTTTAGGGTTTAGGGCACTAAAACAGTTGAGCGACATTGTTATGGTGGTTCAGCCAGGTAAGGTTACAGTCTTGTGTGAAAAATACATAACCAAGGAAAGCTATAATCTTACTCAAAACTGGGGGCTATCATATCCCCAAATCAAACACCACCCACTTGACATCAGGGCTCCGAGGAAGGGCTATGGGCAGTTATAACTAGGGTCAAAAGTTAGGCACCACAACTAGGTTGTAGCTATAGTTGTCCAAGTTATACCCCCAACTACAGCTCCCCACGAACCTTCAACTGGGGGAAGAGGGACAAACCACTCTACAACCCAAAGCTTCATGCATTTTTCCATTCTGTTGTCCATTTGATTCTCTGATAAAGGGGTAATCTGTCTACACCAAGAAATCCTGAAATCTCTCTATATAGCCCTGTACAACCCCTATATACCCCCTACCATCAACCCTAAACCCTACACCCTAGACCCTAAACCTGGACCCTAAACCCTAAACTCTAAAACCTATACCCTATACCCCAAAACCTAATCGCACCCTAAACCCTACACCCGAAACCCTAAACTCTACACTCTAGACCCTGAAACCCTAAACCGAATCAGGGGACAAGCTGGAGGCTCTTAAGCTTGAGTCGTAGGAGGCGTTGTCCAGCCATCTGTCAATTCCTCGCCCCGACCTTACTGGTGGTTAGAGTTTAGGTTTTAGGGATAAGGGTTTAGGGTCTAGAGGTACTAGGGAGCGAAGGTATGGCGTTTTGGGGAATAGAAGTACTCAAGTGCTGCATTGTAAACGAGCGTTTGTCCAAACTGCTGATGGACTCCGACGCCATGAAAACTTGTTATGGGGTGCAGGATAAAGAAAATAATCCCTCTTCTTACAGTCTTATACGTTTGACTTTGGCCTTAGAGGGGTGTCCTTGTTTGTGGTGAGGGATCCTATCCCTTTTGGGCCATCTTTTGTGATTCCTACATCTCACTGGATTCCTCTCTCAGTCCCTGATATGCGAGCTTTAACGATTAGGAATATGCGGTACTACAAAAGACATCTGTTCCGAGCAGTCTATTTCTGCCCTCTTTACCAACCACCATCAAGCGACCGGCCCAAGAACGATTCTTGCGTGGAAGACCAAGACTGCGGCTTCTTCCTGGTTGTTCGACTTCCATCAGAGTAGCCGTAGCGGCCTTTCCCACGGCCGTGCGAGTGCCAAAAGCTGGGTCCAGGAAGGAGTTGTTTGGATGCAAGCTTTGCAGGAGCTTTTGCCCTCCACTGCTCCAATGCATTGGGCTTTGCGGAAGGAATTGACCAATTAGGCCGACTGTGGGCGTCAGTGCTCTTCCTTACTGTGGAGAAGTGGATCCCTGTGATAATCCCAATACAATGATAACCATAATAAGACTAACAACAATGATAATAATACCTGCAGTCTCTCCAACCCCTTGACTAACCGCCATAAAATATGATAATCCCAACAGAAAAGTTGGGGCTTAGGGTTTAGGGATAGTAGCTTCCATCTCTCTACGATTCCCTAAACTCTAAACCCTAAACCCCGATCCCTGTACTAGGCACCAGTAAGTTTCGTGCTGCTCCACAGGACTGATGGATCCAAGGGCTGACTGCGGCTCTCAAATTCCTTGGTTGCTGTAAAAACGCAACCAAAAAATTCACGCAAGTTCCCTTGAGACCCTAAACCCTAAAGAAGGAGCTCCAAAAGCCCCAAAATGTCAAAGAATGTCAAAGAAGTAGATAGTTTTGTAAAAAGCAGTACCCAGATTCTGTTGGAATTGATCGGGAGGTTGACTTGAAGACCCAGTGGCAAGCTCCTATGCAGTCCTCGCCGTCTCGGCTGATGCTCTTCACCTGCGAAAATATCAAAAGGACAGCGCTCCTACAGTGGATGGAGGAATTCTCGTACCACCTCAGATCCGCATAGCATGGCAATTCCAAAGGTACATACAGGGTACTGTAGGGTGGGGCAAGATTTGATTTCCTCCATCCGCAGTAAGGAACAGAAACTAGGCATACCTGCAGATATTGAAGGATTATAAAGGTTCCGCCTCCAAGCCAGACAGTTTTTTCAGGGGTTATGGCTTGGGGTATTGTAGAAGCCTGCGGAAATGCTAGCATTTCCCTATCTGGCATAATGTAACCCAACCCCCTATGCTCTTTAAACAGGCCCCTGCGTCACCATCCTGTTATACGCTGCTATATGCACCCCTTGCCCATTCATTGGTCGATGTTTTTCTCTATTCGATTCTCCAATGTCTCCTGGAAGCTCCGGCACCCAAACCCTATATAAAGTAGTGGCTTCCATTTTCTTTGCTATTTCTCCCTACATCGTCCCCATTCATACGCATAAATATAAAAACCAATAGAGTCCTAAATCTTGAAGCCTAAACCTTAGACCCTAAACCGTAGCGGCTTTTGACATCGTCACCTCCAAGTCCCATCTCCTTGACCGAGAGCGACTAACCTCGAACTGGCTGCTTTGCGCCATAGCTTGCAGCGAAGGCGATGCTGGCTAAGTAGTATTGTTTTGGGTTTCAAGGTTTAGGATTCTTGCTCTCGGAATTCCAGCTAAGACGCATTTTCTGGATGGCACCACAAAAGCTGAAAAGATTTACGCATAGGTTCCAATGTATAGCAAGGAAACTCAAAATCATCTTGGAGTGCAACCTAGAGCATTTTGTGGCTGGCTGCACTAAGTACAGCTACTTTGTCCTTATCGAATACAACATTCAGGACTGTGAAACACTAGACAGTCCAGGACGTCTTTGTAAGGGTCAATTTCCAGGCCAGTAGAAAGTGTACAGGCCTAAATCAACTCCTACTATAGTCCCCCTTAAGTAGATAGAATATGGGGCATATGTGGGTCTTATTATAATATACCCAAAGCCATATTCTATCTACTTAAGGGAGATTATATCTGCACGCACTTCTGATCTGTAAGCCAGGATGGCTCCCCATTGCCAGCATAAGCAGCAGTGAATCGCGCCACAGAGATTACAGCTAGATGAGCTACTGGCTAAACTCCTAGTATCCCCCTTATTGACCCCTAGAGTGGTCCCTTACATATTCCCCCATATAACCCCCTTAAAGGAGTTTAGACTATAGCTCAGATGTGCAGAAGATGCAGCTCTCTGTCAAAACCTAGGTATGCAAGTTACAAAAACACTTCGCTAGTCGCATGTAGTAAGAATGGAGCATCAGAGACTACAGGGTCTTGCCAGGATCTGGCCCAGTGACAACTGGAAGTTTTAGCTACTAGTCCTGAACCCTTGTTCCATGTTCTTTTCCATCTGGTTCCTTTTCTTCTCTGGTATTATACAGCTCTACGTTAGGGGTATATTGAAGCCCATATACATGTGCATTACAGCTAATGTCCAACTGTTACAGAGTGTGGGCACTACGCAACCTAGTGGGGTGTACCCAGTATACACCCTAAATCCGAAACCCCAAACCCCAAATCCTAAACCCTAAACCCTCAACCCTAAACCCTCAACCCTAAATCTTAAACCCTCAACCCAACCCTACATCCTAAGCACTAAAAACCCACTCACCAAAAGCCATCATAAAAGCCCTACCTGATGCATCCCTGGGGTTTAGGGTTTAGGGTTTAGGGGTTTAGGGTTTAGGCCCTCATCATTATCAACCCTCAGTTTCTGGGTGGTTATCAAAATTATGGTCCCTTTTTGGGTCCCTATTATACTACGGCACCTAATATTTAGGGTACCCCAAAAAGGGACCATAATTTTGAAAGCCACCCTTCTATCTTATGTTTAGGGTATAGGACTATGGGATAGAGGGCTTTGGGTTTAGGGGTGTAGGGCTTGGAGTTTTAGGCTTAAGGGAAATGGTTTAGGGTTGGAGGGTCATATAGGCATGGCCACCCCTAAACCCTAAACCCTAAACCCAGGAGCTTGGCTTTCAAACCCACAGCTCGCCAGTCAGAGATGCATCCAACCATTGCCCAAGCAGGGTCAACACAGTCTGCCTGCCAGGGGCTGTACTTGGAGGCTCAGGGGACTAAATAAGTAGGTTAGTAATGGGGAAATCTAGGATTGTTATATGGGTTATATAGGTTACTAACCTACTTACCAAGTCCCCCTGACCATCCAAGTAGTGTTATAGGGTTACCTTCACCCAAACTAACGTGGCACAAATAGGGTTAACAGTTTAGGGTTTAGGGCCCCGGAGGGCCCAACATCCTTCAGGGTCAAGTCCAGTTGTATGTCTACACTCGTCGTCCAAGCCACTTAGCGGACTATGTGCAGGGCATCCAAGAGGTGGCAGTAGACGCAGAATACATCAAGATACGATACACGGCATCAGAAGCACTCCCAAGGAAAGAGTCCTAATTTTTAAAAAAACTCCATGTATGCCTGAGATTGCAGGAGGGGACCTTTGTCCCAATCAATGTAGGGTAGGTTCCCGAGGCCCCCAATAGGCAAACCTCATAAACCGCACCTCCTTTACAAAGAAGTTGTGATGGAACCCCGGGGTTTTCAAAGGGTCTGTCCGATTTGAGGGGTTCTCTGTAGAAACCTGAAACATTACCAGTAGTACCTCCTTGTCCCACATATATATATATACACATACATATGTAATATAACCCGTTTAGAGGGACCGTGGTTTTGCCTCTTCAATGAGCGAATCCGCGCATCTAAAGCCTCAAATCTAAACTTTAACCCCTAACCCCTACCCTAAACCCTAAACCCCTAAACCCTAACCCCTAAACCCTGCCTGGCCGTACGCACCGCAGGGAGGTCGCCCTCGTGGCTGCCAGCCAAATCGTAGATATGGGCACCTGAAGGTCAGGTGAGTAGTGTTTTTTGGTGGTTGAACCTAGTAAGATAATATTCCTTATATAAAATACTATACCCCAAAAGGAGGATATAATCTTACTCTATATTGGGTACCATAGTATCCCCAAATAAAAGATACTGCTCAGGTGTTGCTTTCTCATACTTGGAGGGTCGGGGGGACTTAGCAAGTAGTTTAGTAACCCCTATAACCCAAATAGTAACCCTAGTTATCCCCGTTATTAACCTACTTATTAAGTCCCCCTGACCCTCCAAGCAGACGGATTAGTTTTTATTTTGGCGGGGCCTCTTTTTTGGCCTTTGGTTAGCTAGTCCCTATATAACCCATCATACTAGTTCACATTGTCTTTTCCATTCCTTCATTCCCAGCTAACCAAAGGCCAGTTTCACCCCGCGTCACTGCCCCAGCAAGTTTACGGTTTGGGAAAAGGGTTTAGGGATTGGAGGTTAGGGGTTGGGGTTTCAGGCTTAGGGATTGGGGGTTAGGGTTTGGGGAAATTTTTAGGGGATTGAGGATCAGGGATTACGGTTTATTACAATTCCTTAGGGCGTGGTGGGGGTCATGTGGCATTTGAGTAACGAAAGGTGTCTCTTGCCTTGAGGGTTGAGGGTTGAGGGTTCTGGATTTAGGCTTTACCCAGGGAGAATCATGACGGGGACCCTAAACCCTAAACCCTAAACATACAGCTGCAGAAAGAGTCTACAGCTATATGGCGAGAAACTCCTCGGAAGGAAGGCTACGAAGCACCAACGTGATGCAAGGGAGGTTGCCAAACCCTAAACCCTAAAACCTAAACGCGACCTAGAGTTTGGGTTTTAGCGTCTTCGGGGTGATAACACAAAACCCTACACCCTAAAACCGCTAGAGGTTTTAGGGTGACAACTTAATTGTATTAGAACCTAGCCTCCCGGAATCTGCAGCGACACCAGCTTGTCGGAAGGGGGCTGCAGCCTAAGGACCAGAGGTTTAGGGTTTAGAGTTTAAGGTTTAGGGCTGGCAGCCACACCGAAGCATGCGAAAGACAATACTGTAACAATAATAGTAAAACAATACTAACTTCCTGGTGGCTTGTAGGGAATAAGGGAATATATAATCCCCGTATGAGCTATAGTCTAAACTCCTAATATTCCCCCCGAATAACCCCTATAATACTCCCCTATAAAATCCCCTATATAACCCCTCTTCAAGGAGTTTAGACAGCTCATACAGCATATTCCCTAATTTCCTAGTCACCCCCAGTCAGTGAGACAAATAAGAGGGCAACTTAGGGCCCCGCACGCCGCCCCCATGCCAAGGGTCCAGAAGGCCATTGGTGAAGATAATGCGGCTGCTGTTGTTCACGGAAGACCTTACATATAGTATATTATTATGGTATATTATGATATACTGTTGTATTTTGTGGTATATTATAGTATGTCATGGTATATTATAGTATAGTATGGGGAAATTTTTACAGCGTTGCACCAACACACGTTAACCCGTCAGCCCCGAAGGCCTTCACATCCTCCTTCACTGCTACATGGGTTGGCACTCTGAAAAAAAGGCCTCCGGCTACTATGTTAAGGAACTTAAATAAAGTTACCATAATGCGTATATAGGGTATATAAGACTTAGGGTTACCTCATGGGTATATACATATATTTATACATAGTAAATGATATGGTTTCCCCAGTACAACAACTTCAATTAAGCCGAGCAGCATCCATGGCAAGAACCAGCCTGGCATCGGCTGCAGCTGCCATGTCTTCTGGCAGTAATTTGAGAGCTCCGCATGACCCCAGGCCCTGGGAGGGAACATGTCGCTGACGTTATCCTTAGGTGCGCAGTACCTATAGTCCCCCTAAGTAGATCGAATATGGCCTTGGGTATGTTATCATAAGATCCCCATATAACCGATATTCTATCTACTTAAGGGGAACTATAGGCTTTTTCCAAAGTAATCCTTTTGGATTATGCTGGGGCCTGTACTACCCTAACAAAAATGTGAAAGGCTTTTCACGGGACAAGCAGGCATCAGTGGCGGTATAGTAAACAATCTGCCTGCATGCTTCGATGTCCCAAGAACGTCCCCAGGCGGAATCGGCAGCGCCACAGCCAGTTTGATCAGCACAGTCCCGGTACTCGCTGCTGATGTTGTGGCAGCGCACAGATCCTAACACTCACTAACCCAGACCCATGATTAATAAACTCCCTCCCCTTAATAGGGATCTTAATATGGATCCGAATATCAGGGCCCTTAAAAGGAGGGGGTTCATTAATCAGGGGTCTACATTGCTGTTGATGGAAGGAATCCTGCACCACCTTAATACTAGGTTCCCCAGTAACCCATTACTAATAAGGGTACCCTTTTTCCTACTCTTTAGCTTTAATAAGGAGACCCCAAAATAAAAAGGGCAAAAGGGTACTACTGGGATACCTAGTTAAGTCCCTTAATTTCTGGGAAGTACAATGCTTTGGATATCCTAGCTGGTGCAAGATTTCGTCCATCAACCCTATGAGAGGGCAATCATTGGTCACTGCGCCGTGGTGCCCATATAGTGAGGTATCCATCCCCAAAACCCTTTCAAAGCTTCCGATACCAGAAGTCTGTACACATACACCGCGGCTCTGCTTAAAGGGGCGGGACCAACTGGCACTCCTTTAAACCCT